GGGGACGACGTGCACCCGCGTCGTGGGCATCGCCTTTCCCGATGGATTTATTACGACTAAAAATACGACAACTATGATTAGTACTGGTCGATTGAACGCAGAGCATCAATGGCGAGGGGTATGGTGTTTTCAGCCTCCGGCTTGTCGCGACGACATTAGCCGTGCATTTGTATGTATTAGAGAGTTTGCGAAATTTCCTATTATCGTTGAAAATTATACTTCGCGGGATAATAGGAATCTGACTAGATAATTTGCGTTTGCGAAATCTGCGACCCAAAAAAATTATACTACCGCAGGGTATGCATTCGGCGAGAGGTTCGGGTCGCGAGCCACTCGTTCGCGCTGGTGCATGCGACCGCGGAAGCGCGCGGACATGGACAGTCGCGTGGAGCGCTCATGTTTCGTGTGATGCGATCAACCCATCTACTATCAGGTTTCCGACTCAATAACTCCTCTAGCGCCTCCTCGTTGTCGCCCACGCAACCGGGATCGTGCGTGGGCGCTCCTCCTCGCCTGGCGACGCGCCTCGAAGCGCAGAGACCGCTGCGCGGAAACAAGGCGCCGAGTATGTTCACGGGCCAGATGCGCAACTTCCTCTACCTCTAGATGATGTCGGTGGTGCCCGCAAGCGACCGCTGAGGCGATGGCACGGCCCGCGCTCTGGACGTCCTTCGTTGTCGGCCCTGCAACGCAAATTGGCAATTGAAAGCGTCGGTGCCTGGTTGGTTGAAACGCCTCCTATTTCATCCAATGGGCATCACTGGCCTTTTTTCTGTCAGAGCTTATTTATTGGCCGTCGTGTCCGATATCAATTCCCACAAATATCTCACTTTGACAGGTTTTTTGGAGTTATTATCGAAGGCCTCCGGAGGCCGTATTTAGTATCGAATTCTATTATCGAATATTCTTTTTCACAGTGACCTCTGAGACTCGATCGAGATAATATAATTTTTTCGATAATTTTGAAAATCGCAAACTCACTATTATCCGGATTTTTCGATGGGAGGGTGGCCGCGGGCAACAAAAGTTCAGTGGTCCCAGCTATAGCGCCAACTAGGATGGTTTCAATACC